GAGTAGAGCTCAGTGATTTAAGCTATTAATCAATATGATCAACTACCTATAGCATGGATTACATCAATTAGTGTCACGTAAACTAATTGATTAATTGAAATTATGATTTAACGAGTTTCAGCCCAGTTTCAGCTAACAATACTGAGAATTAAATTGTGGCGAAATGCTACAAGTTCTTCAAATACCTATAGAATGATAGGTTTCTTTTTTGTGAGTGTAAAATATTTAAAACAATGTTTTACATGTATATGTTATATTTGAAAAGGCTGCTTTTGTTACTGCTAAAATGTTATATGCATTTAGTGGGGGTTGTGTCTTACTCTAGGCATATATTTGCCCATTGCTGTTTATTAAAAAAGCCAACATACAAGATAAAGATTGAGAATTTAAAATCTACTAATAGGGATTGTAAACAAAAGTAAGCAAACAGAGCTGGAGATATTCTTCTGACAGTTTGCTCAAACTAAAAATCCCTATAATGACTGCACTATAAAATCAGTGCAAGTGATATCTACTGAATTATGGGATCGCACAGGAATTTTACAAAAACTGAGAGAGTAGTTTTAAACTTAATTTGACTGTCTTAATTTTGTTGTACTATGAAATTTTCTAAGTCCTTCACTTTCCGCCATCAAAAAATCTGGTGTTTTCCTGGTGTGCACTTTTGTTGCAAACTAAAGCTTGTGCATTTTCTAATGCATTAATTGGAAACTTCCAAGTAAAAGATTCCCAATTTTGCTGTTGCGTTTCGTTACTCGAGTTGCTATTGTTCATCATTACTCAAGTTTCCTGTCTCAACATGGATTTTCATGACTATATTTCAGCAATTTTGTAACAGCGGATGATAACCATAGTAGATTTTCCTACTCTGACTGTTTCTTATTTTTAGCTGAAATTGTGAGTGTGCATTCAGTATTTATTACCACTGTATATAGCACTATTTTGTATAGCTATTGCTGTTTATAAGTAGTTGATGTTAAGGTAACAGTTGTAAATCTTGTCGATTTATGCTAAATGTGTTGCTGTTGTCAATCTTGCATGCATTATTTGTGTTTTCTTATTCCCAGCAAACACTTGTGCACTTTAGGCTGTTAAAGAACATACATATGCATCATGTAGACCTAAAAAGGCAAGCATGCTACTGCGTCTGTTTACATTGCATTAATCTGTGTTGTATTATATTAGAAGAAACATTATTCCGTTCTGATGAGATTGCTTTGTTGCTGCTCATCTTTTGTTACATTACACTGTGACATTGATGGAAGCCGGTCAATAAATCTGTAATGATACAATCTTTGTCGTCAAGATGATCCTTTGAGAACAACTTTACATTTTGTTCTAGTTACATACCAGTACATGTGTTTATTCTTTGTTGCTGCTCGTCTTTTGTTACATTACATTATGACCATTGATGGAAGCTGGTCAATAAATCTGTGATGATACAATCTTTGCCTTCAAGATGGTCCTTTGAGAACAACTTTACATTTTGTTCTAGTTACATACCAGTTCATGTGTTTATTCTTTGTTGCTGCTGACGCATGTTTTGCTAAATTACATTATGACCATTGATGGAAGCCGGTCAATAAATCTGTGATGATACAATCTTTGTCGTCAAGATGATCCTTTGAGAACAACCTTACATTTTGTTTGTCATAGTTTCATACCAGTACATGTGTTTATCTTTTGTTGTACATTTGTTATTTATTTTGAATAAGTTCAGTGTGGTGGTTGGATGGAAAAAAAGCCAATGCAGCAATAAAATGTTGAAAAACATGTAACATTCAACTGAATGCATATGTACGTGTGTAGCTTAAAATTTATTCTTCATAAATTAACATAAAAAACTTAAGAAAAAAAAAGATTTGAAAAAAATTTTTAGTTTTAAAAGGGGGAATAGGAATCATCGAAAAGTACAGAAACAAGTTGAATCAAAATGCAAAGATTATATTTTCAAGCCTACAACTAGAGACTCTAAAAAAAAGTCAACAAACAAAGCTGGAAAATGTCTGCATTATTTTCTCAAGCTACAAATCCCTATTGTGACATGACTAAAGTTGATAAGTATTGTAGACATGTTTATGTACTTTTTGATGATCCCTAATCTCCCTTTTTTAAATTGACAATTTTTATTAATCCTATAGATAAATACAGGTAACAGATGATTAAAAAAAACACACACATTAGGACTGTAACACACTAAGAGGCCTGTTAATATTATATCCATGCTGAATTTTTTTCTTTAAGTTATCAGAAGAGTAATAATATGCTGTAGAATTCTTAAAGTTTTTGTGTTTTAAAAAATAAAAATGCTTATCGCAAACACTTTTTATTTTGAAGATGAAGTTTGAAAGTCTTCACATCATTTTTTTCATATAGTTTTTCATGATGGTGAAAACAATCAACTGATGTCGTCCTCAAAACTCACCCACTGAAGTGTGTTTATAAAGTGCTATGTCTTTCTTTCTTGTATATGTGCACATACTGCATATACTGTTAATTTGATTATCTGGGTAATTTTATATGTCTTGTGCAACAGTTGTTTATAGTTTTTATTTCTTGTCTGTGACGCAACCTTCATATTGTCTTTTTCAAAGCTACTGTCATCAAACAAAGTGCATCAAATACACAAATATATTATAAACTATGTCCATCATAAATCATTTAAATGAATAAGTCAATGTTTTAATTAATCAACTAAAATGCTTCCTACAGAGTAGTTTACAGAAGTATGTAGTTAAATTGTTCACAATAAGTAAGGAACCAAAATTATGATATGTCAGAATATCTTTTTATACCTTTATTATAAGCAAAATATGTTTTTATGTACATATAAGCTTCTAAAATGTTACTTTTAATAAATCAACTTGTCTTTTGTCCAGGAGAGTCAGGGCTGTGAAGCTATGAATGGCTGTTTACACTGTTTGGCCCAAGAATATCCTCAAGTAAAATTCTGTGCATTAGAAGCATCTTCAGCAGGAATGAGCAAACATTTTGTGAGTTTTTAATATATGTTACAAATGTGAAATTTCTTATTTTGTCATCAGATTTCATGAAATATTTAACGTGTGTTTAATGGAACTCAGTGTAATAAGCATATGTTCAATAGTTGTATTCTATACTTGAATGGCATGTAAATATGATTAACATTGGAATATGGATATAGTTTTATTAATACATTTTTCATATTTCAAGTACACGTTGCTGTATTTAATTGCAAGTTACAGGCATTAGGATGTCCTAAATCTCAACTATATTAATCTTACCAGAATGTTATTTTCTTAGGTGTAAGTTTAAAACTGGTCTATTATGGTGTTTGTCGTGCTTACTTGGATAACTTATGGATACTTGGCATGCTGGTCATGTGCAAGGATTGAAAAGTTAGAAATTCTGTAAATGGGTCTTGCTTAGTAATGTGGATGATACAATATTTTGGAAAGTTGTGTTGGAGTTTAGAATTGAATGTATTCCCAAGCAAAGTAAGCTCTCATCATAATCTTCTTTGTGATCATCTTAGATTTTGACCTCATCTTTACTTCTACTCTAGTAAATGCCACAGAAAGCTATCCCTACAAATAAAAAAAAGTGTTAAGGGAACTAGTATCAGTCACTTATTTATTTCCATTTTATGAATAAACTGTTTCTGTTTATTGAGGAATATTTTGTCACATTCCCTCTTATTAGTGACTGGATCAAACTTATTTACACTTAGCTTGGCATATCCAGAACCATCCATAATTCTGATGCTTAATAGTTTTTATAACTGTTGGCCAATTATACCTCAGATTACCACAATAGGCAAAATCATTTCTGATTCATGTTTAAAATGGCTTCAATGGAAACTTTGTACTTGAGCATGCATTTTTAAACCTTCTCTAGAGAAGAATTGGAAAAAGTTTTCCATCTCTGACCTGTAGAAAATAATATGAAAGGAATAAAGAAGGAGAGTAACACAAATTTCTTTGTGTCTAACTAAGCATGTGTATTTCAGCAAAGGTTGATGTTAGTTTTTATGTTATTTGTTTTCCACAATAGGAAGAAAGTGGGGTTCCGGCACTCCTTGTGTATAAATCTGGAAACTTAATTGGAAACTTTGTTCGATTAACTGATGAGTTTGGAGAAGACTTTTTTGCAGTAGATGTGGAAAGCTTTCTTGTTGAGTATGTTGATACATTTTTCATATTTTTTAAATCTGGTTTATTACAGACACTAAACCAGTTTGTTCTGGACTTGCAAGTTTTTTTCCAATGGTGATTTTTGCCACTTCTGCTTGATTAATATAATATTTTTAGATTTGTAAACATTTTCAGTTAAAGGGCTTCTAAATTATAATGTTGTACAGTAAACTCTCTTTAGGGAATCAACCTTGAATTTTTGTTTTATAAGCCTTCAAGCAAATCACAGAGGGAATTATTTAAAGAAAATGCTCTTGGACAATTATGTGGTGATAATCAGTGCCAAACTTAGATACATATTGTCTTAGTATATTAAATGTTGAATAAAAATTCATTTCTAAATAAATATATTATCAGTGCCAAACTTAGATACATATTGTCTTAGTATATTAAATGTTGAATAAAAATTCATTTCTAAATAAATATATTATCAGTGCCAAACTTAGATACATATTGTCTTAGAATATTAAATGTTGAATAAAAATTTATTTCTAAATAAATATATTATCAGTGCCAAACTTAGATACATATTGTCTTAGTATATTAAATGTTGAATACAAATTTATTTCTAAATAAATATATTATCAGTGCCAAACTTAGATACTTATTGTCTTAGTATATAAAATGTTGAATAAAAATTCATTTCTAAATAAATATATTATCAGTGCCAAACTTAGATACATATTGTCTTAGAATATTAAATGTTGAATAAAAATTTATTTCTAAATAAATATATTATCAGTGCCAAACTTAGATACTTATTGTCTTAGTATATTAAATGTTGAATACAAATTCATTTCTAAATAAATATTGTTGGTATTCTTTCAAAAGTAATCAAAGTGCTTTTTATGTATTATATTTTATTGGAAAACAGAAAATAAACTTGATTTTCAGTACATTTTCTCTATCATAACTATTTGCTATATATACCAACAAGTTGCCCTTCTAGTTTCTCCTGTTTATTCCTCCATTTCTTTCCCCTGTTTAAAGGAAGTATTTGCATATTCTCATTCACACGACTATCTGAAGTAAGTGTGTGTTTTACCCACTGTATAGAGCCTTAGTTCGGTTGACATGAACCATGTGTACATTATTTCACATATCAGTGTACTTAACTTACTTGATAAATCTTATCTGGTCAAATTTTCTGTTGGTACCTCAGAATGTTAATCTGCTTTCCTGTCCTGCTACACCATTCTTTTCTTGGATTTTTTACTTTGTCCCTGAATTTTTTTTATTTCTTGGAATTGGATACATCACATTTATTTGTTAAGGTGGTTTCTTTTAATATCTTCAAGTGACTGCAGCTGCTTGTATTCAGCCAAAAACTTCATCACATCCAAGTAAACGTAGGGATTGATAATTATTTGCTAGTGGGCTGCTATACCTCCATATTCCTTGAGGTACAATAGTAAATTTGAATGTCTGTTAGATGTGTATTTTATATAGATATATCAATACCGTTATCATTCCTGGTTGTCAACTTATTGTCATAACGGATAATGTCTGTGGTAATAGTACCCAAATATCCAAACACTAATGATAAAAAAGAAAGAAAAACAACCTAACATATCCAACAGAACTTACAGTAGAAAGAAGTAATAATAATAATAATAATGAGGTCTGTGCTAATTATTTAGATTTGGATATTACTTTTATAGAAGGTACGGTGTAGTTGACTATTATTGATAAAAGAGAATTTAATTTTCCCATTCTTGGTCTACTCACACCTAATAATGTTATTATGTATATCATGTTAAAAGGTATTATTATATCTCTACCACAACAGTTCTTAATAGTATATAGTAACTATAATTCTTTTATGGATAATGTTTTATTATTAAAAAATAAATTGAAAGATAACGGCTATAGAGACAGGCAATTAAAGAACTACATTATTTTTTAATGAATACAAAAATATTTTAGAAACTAAACTACCAATTAAGGAAAATATCTTATAAATAAAATATAGAGGGAGTTAGTTATTTTACCTTATAAATAGTCAATAATAATTTTTCTAGTAGTTTTATTTAGTATAACCTGGGATGGAAAGACTAACTTCAAGTAGCTGGGCTTGTCTCGGTGTTCCCTTGTTATACTTGAATAAATCTTCAGAAGAAAGGGAGGAGGATGGGAGTTAGAACTATATAAGAACTTTTAAGGTAGGGTGTAGAGTTCTATTTAGTTCTATTCAATATTTTTATAGTTCTCTTTAATATATTTTTGTAAGGGTTGCGGTTGGGAGTTAAATTAGTAGAAATATTAGGGTGGCTTTATTTCAATTCATTTCTACTTTAAGAAATTTAAGGGTAACTGCTTTCCCACAACTGCCTGTAGACAGTGAAAGGCAGTAGAAGCTGAGACGTTGTGGGTGTAAGCACTCGGCTTCGTACCCTTATTTGATTGATGCTTTTTTTTTCATGATTTTTCATGACGGCTGAATATATTGACATCAGCATTTGAATATTGTCTGACAGATGGGATATCCCTAATGCATTTGGGTGCAATTACCACAAACATTATCTGCTATGACAATAAGTTGACAACCTGTACTGATAACTGTAATATGGTATTTAATTCATTATTGTTTTATAGTGCTGGTTCAATCACCTATTAACAATTAAATGTAATCAGCAATTTGAAAACTATTTATTTATATATTTCATATATTCTCACTTCATGATAGCATCTCAAGACCATGTCACTGTGTCTAAAATGAAGATTTATACATGTAGTTGGCCATGAGTAACTTTGTAGGGTTTAAATAAAACATCATGTGTTTATGGCAATGAACCCTACTCTGGTTCATAAAATATTCAATAGATTATTTAATTATTTGCATGATCTAAGCAATAGAAGTCAGATGATTTTTTTGGAGATTAGTTTTCTAGATGATATATTGGAATTTGGTTATTACCATTGTCAAATAGAATATTGTACTTTACCCAGGTGTGAGAAGAAACCATTTTAAATATTTCACATACAGTTTTAATATTTGATAGATGAAGGTTTAGTTCCTCTGTTAAATTCCAAAAAGTTGTCAATACAAATTTAAAATGGCTAAGGTGAGCACCGTTATTGGTTGATAAGGTCAGGAAATGCAAGAAAGTTATTAGTGAAAATGAATGATTCACTTTAACAAGTTCTTGAAAATGGAGTTTGGCAACCATCAAAAAAGCAACTGATGAAGAGACTTTCTAACTATTTAAATTTACACTTTCTTTTAACTCTATATACCTGGATCAAAGTGAGCATGCCATAACCTTTTACAGAGTATCATTCAACATGGTATTATGTATTTGATGTCAGAGTTATCAACTATTCAGTTTACCATGCACTGGTGACTTAGCAACAGTTCATGGTAGAAGAGAGTAAATACCAGATATGATACACAGGGATACTGAAAAAAGAACTGTTGATAAGCATTTTGGAAGTTCTAGAGATTCCCATGATGCAATATGCAAACAAACAATGGACTTTTTATTCTTATATCACGATTATCTCTTTGCATTTCAACTTGTCAGAGTCTGAGTCAGACTGACATCATCAATTCACAGACATATTTTGAGTATAACAGACTTACATACACACATTTAGTAAATTTGGAACATTTCTTCTCTCTTTTCTTCTGAACATTTGGTTAACTCTTCATTATTAGTTCATCTTATGTTTGAATCATGTGCTAGGTTTAAAGATTCATTGCTCTTATTTATAGAAGATATATATAATGTGCTTTTAGCCAAATTAAACTTATCTGAAGTACATTTTATCAATAATTAATAAACACTTTCTTTGCCTCTAGAGTATATGAAAAGCCAGTTGTAAATTGAGTTTGAAATAAAATAATAAAAACTGTGTTGTTGTTCAAACATATCTTAATTATACCTTTGTTTAACTCTGTAAGAGCCAATTTCAATTCATTAGTTTTCCAATCAAGCTCTTAATAGCAAAAAAGGTGTTTTGCAGTGTGACATGAGGTGTGATTAGCTGTTTTTAATGTTTACGGTAATTAAGCATTTCATTTCTGTGATTGTTTATGGAAAAACAAATGATTCATGCTTCCTGAGCATGGGATTATATTTTTTTTGGTAAAATGTAGGCTTAATCGTCAGTTACTTTAACTAGCTTGATGTTAAGACTTATTTGATTGGCTGAATGAATAATCAATAGTATATTTACACAATAGACCATAATTGGAATACTTTTAATTAAACTTTCAAAATACAGGTGATAAACTATGATTTATATTTATGGAATTTGTCACATATACAGTGATCTATTCTATTGATTGTTGCACCCAACAGACATTTCTTGGAGGTGAGGCTGTCTTTCTTGTAAGTCATCTTACAGAAGTATAGAGTAGATAAATAAAATAACTTATTCAAAGTTTTGAGCTAGATTTTTATGAATGTTTTTTCCAGAAATAAATCAGTTGCCATTCTTATTGCTCATTCTTTTAAATAATCACTCTCAGAATTTAAAAATATATCTTTTTTTTTTTGCCAATTGTCAAAATAAAATGGCTTTTACTGATATTTCTTAATAATATAAATATATACTATGTTGTTGTTGGGCTTATGATTCTTCTACAGTAGGTGTCTGTAATTTGTTAGCAATAAATTCAACGATGAATAAACATCACGCACTTCACTTGTTTTCTAATAATATAGATTTCGGAACAAGTTAAATATATGTACAACAAAGTCTTCACACTATAGATATTATAGGCATATCATAAACACTATATATGTAGTTCTCTCCTTGTGAAAAGTCCACTTAGGCCTATTCAATTACTTTAGAATTTCAGTTGACAAGCTGAACTATCTTCTCTATTACTATCAGACTAGTATTCTTTGTGTGATTCACTTACAGTTGTGGTACGAGTTGCAGTAATTGTTTGGTCTTCTTTCTTTTGAAGATTCTCTGCTCCTTTTGTCAAAGTGCACTCAGGCTGTTTCAATTGCTTTAGAACCACGCTTTGATGGAATAAATTATTTTTCTTATCTTTTTTTCTACTGTTAGTCTTATTCTAACATATTGTTAGGCCTATCACTTCTACAGTACTTAACTTTTCCTTTTATAACTTTACTTTCTTCTGCTATTGTCTGTCTGTCGTCACGCTCGTCTCACGCTATTTATATCTTTATCACCTAATCATCTGTCCACTTTCTATATTCTCGACGTCAGTGTATTTCACACGACATTCAATAGTCTCAACATCAATGAATTATTAACAAAACTTCCCACAATCGTCTGCTTTTAATTGTTATTATAAGAAAAACTAAACAGTAATAAAATATTTACTCACAAAAACAAATCAATCAGTAACATCTAAACTAAATAGTCTTTTATGTCATGATAATCATCAAAGTCATAAAATAATTTCATGTTGACCAACAGTGTTTAATACAAAAGATGTCATTAAACTACTTCATATTCAGGTTTGATCGAGATCTCTGGTAAATATACATCATACACTTTTTCTTCCCAGTACCTGCTTCTGCCATAATAGAATGGTATGTTGAATGCATGCCTACTTGGAGAGTAGGTTATTACTATTTGATCCATTGTGTGAATTGCATTAGCTGACTCTCTGATAAATAAATTGACTGTGGATTTCTCATAATGTAAACTTATGCCACAGCCTGATTTTACATTTCATGGAATGCCCTTTCTCCTTAAGAATGATGTAGAGTTTAATATTTGGACTTGAATGTGTCCCCTCATATTAGACAACCTGGTGTGTTGACATGGGGCTACATATGGAGTTTAAGGAACTCCCAACATCCATTCTGTTCTTCCAGGTGATCAACAACCGTTGCCACATGGGACTTGATTAGCATGATTCCTTTATTTTTTCATTATCAGTTTCATTCATATAATACTTATTGCTATCTTCTTCCTTACATCCAAAAGTATTTGAGTTGTATGTGTACATCCGTGATTGAAAACTGAATAATTGCTTGAGAGATTGTACTGAGACATGTGTGTACCTATTACTTATGTATATTGACCTCAACTAAAAATGAAGCTTTATCTTACAGATCAAATTGTCTATATACCTGTGTGAAGAGAAGGGAAACGCAGCAGGTGTGGTCACGCCCTCTAAATTGTACCCAATTCTTGGAGGCAGTCTTTCCTGCTTGTCCTCTTACAGTCATCAGAAGTATAGAGCTGTCATTAAAGGTTGCTTAAACAATGTAAAAGAAAATAACTACATTTATCAAACAATAGCTGCAAGTGTGATAAGAAGAACACAATCTTGGAAGTTTTGTACATGTATAAAAGATATTTTAGTGTTCTAAAACCAACCTCAGATTCCAGTAAAATGCACAATTTTCACTAAATATTACAAAAATTTTTCTGAGGATACATGACCCTATACCCCTCTAGTATGACTTCACCACTTATTTCCTTTAAAAGTAGCACCCCCCCCCCCCATCTATAGATTTCTATCTACAACCCTTATATATATAAATTAAATAATTTGTTCATTAAAATTGAAAAAAAACTTGTTACATGTCAAAAGACTATGTTGTATTGTTATAGGGTAATTATTTTTAAAGAAATGTTTTTGCTACTTAGAGAGAACATAAAATACATATTCATCATGGAAGTAGCTGCAGAAATATTTACCCAAAACTAACTGGCTGGTAATTCATGATAAAAAGTAGTATCCTGAATTAATATCAATAACTATAATAAGTTTCAAGCATTTTTTGTTTCATTTTATTGTGGTGAAATGCTGTAGTCCAATTAGGAGAGGATCTTTCAAAAAGCCATGTAATCATCATGCAAGATAAACTGCTGATGTAAAGTTGCATCAGAATCAACTCCTGATACTTCCAGAGATTGAGCATTAGTCAGTTAGTCTGTTGACAGTAAGATACTCCCGATCATTTTGGTATTGAATTGAAACTTTCGTGTTTGGGTTATTACCACATTACGAGCTGTTTTCAACAATTGTTTGAAATATTGATACGTTACCAGTAGTTACTGTCTTTTACATTGTTTACGTTTCAAGCGTGATTAAACAGCAGCTTTACACTACTCATGAATGTAAGAAAGACTGTCTTCTAGAAATGTCTGTTGGTAAACCATCATTCAGAATCAGACATTGTGGGAAGCTCAGAATTGAAAACACTACAAAACTTTTTCTTAGAAATTGCAAAGAACATAGCACAGTGTAAGACTGAATCTAAGTCCAGTTACACAAAAAATATGTGTTTATATCTGTAAGAATGATAAGGAACTTGTACTGTTCATATCTAGAACATTGATAATGAACTTGTACTGTTCATATCTAGAACAATGATAGTAATGAACTTGTATTGTTCATATCTAGAACAATGATTGTAATGAACTTGTATTGTTCATATCTAGAACAATGATTGTAATGAACTTGTACTGTTCATATCTAGAACAGTCATTGTTCTAGATATGAACAGTACAAGTTCATTATCATTGTTCAAGATATGAACAGTACAATTTCATTATCACTGTTCTAGATATGAACAATACAAGTTCATTACTATCATAGTTATAAACTTGCAGTATTTTTCAGAGTTGGTGCTTTTTTTTAAACACATTTCTTTGTAGAATTTAAATTTTCTTCATATTCAAATATCATGTTCTTTCACTATAAACTGTAAAGAATGCATTAATGTATGGTATAAAATAACCTTTTTTTTAGGCATGGAATGCTTCCTGACCAAAGCTTAATCCCACAGATTTCCAAATCTAAACATGGTGGACGTGGGCAAGACAACAATGAAAGTGACAGTGACTTTGATGTGGAATGATTAATTAAAAAAAACAAATAAGATCTCTTGAAAGACTTTTTCTACTTTTAAGTTTTGTGATAGTGATGCATCTTTTATTAGACTGTTTTGATGCAAATAAATAATGTACCTTATTTTACCAATCCATTAACTTTTGTATGGAACTTATAATAAAGTGGTCTTCAGGATAAGAAACATTCTTACTATTCATCAGTATCAATTTAGAGGAATGTACTTCAGAAAAATAGACAATTCTTTTTATTGTTGTTTTTGAATATTTGTGGTTTTCTGTACTTGTGCCGGTATGCATACAGTGTATTCCCAAATAACATCTTACGTATATATACATTTATGGGTAAATCAACAAATAAATAGCTAATGGTCGTAGTTAATCAATATATAAAAGGATTGTAGAAATTATGTCGATCTCTTCTTGAGAAAAATCTTTGTATTTAAAAATCCCCCTTTCATGCAGATCCTTTCTAAGGATTTTATGGATTATTTCATATCAAATCTTGTTTAAGTTAAACAAACAAAATACATTCAATAATTTCTAGAAAAACAAATGTTTCTGGTATATAATGGCAATAATTTAATGCAACTATGTTCTTGTAAAAACAGTCAAAATATTAAGCTCTTGTATCATAGAGAGAGTATAAACAAAAATTTAAGTATTTCAGATGCCAAGTTACTTGTAGTCTTCTCTAGATATTATACTTGTGTTCCATACAATTTATATTCATGGTTACAGAAAAGCTAGATAAGAGTTATCAGTAAGAAAAAGGAGTGTGTAATCAGCACAGTTTTGATTGTGTTGATGAGGTTTGGTTTGTTCCACTTAGCAGATGTTGACATTCTATCATTGTAGGTTTAGATAATGTTCAGCTGTACATATGGTAAGTGTGAACTTTCATCCAGTATTTTGTGTTAAATCCAAGGTGAAGTCTTGAAGAGTGTTATTTTTTCATTTGTAGTATAATTAATGGTTCAAAAGGTACAGTTTCAGATCTTTCAAATTGAGTTTTGTGTAATTCTCATTTGAATGTTGTTCCTACTTATTACTTGCTGTAATAGAAGATAAAAAAAAAGTGCTTAAAATGTATTTTTGTTAAGCTCTATCATTTAAATGTGTCAGATACAGCTTTTGTGTTTTTCCAATAAAATTCATCTCATTCTATTTGAAGTTTGGATTGTATTTGATCAGAAAAGTTTTGTATAAGGTATGGTGCTAATCATCATACATATGTGTTTCTTTATACAGGTAATGTAAAGTATGTACTCAAATGGTGTATTTCACGATATCTTTGAAGTATGGTGCAAAATTTAGATCTTAAAATTTAATTTTTAAGTTGAAAGATTGTAAGGTACTTTTAATTCATTACACAAGCTGGGTGGTAACAAGTCCAGAAAGTCAGAAGGATTGTGAGCCCCTCCATATTTTATAGGATGTGCAAACAAATCATGCTGCTCAGCCGTGTCAGTTATTTGGTGTATTTTAACATAACTTAGTCACTTCATGTTATTTTATTTGGTTATGGATTGGAGTAAATATTCTTTTATAAATAAGAATGCAACTTATTACTGTGGACCATCAAGCAGTAATGTTATTGTTTTTCTGTAATACTTTGATATGAATTAAACAGTTTTGTTATTATTTATTTATAACCAGACTACAAGCTAAGGTGGTGCTAACTAGCTATAATTATGAGGTCTTTATAACCAGACTAAAGCTAAGGTGGTGCTAACTAGCTATAATTATGAGGTCTTTATAACCAGACTAA